AGTACATATGTACATACGGTACATATCTACGTGTGTGTCAAATTTCTTGGCGTCTTTTCACATTCGCGGTTATAAACGATGCCGAATAACTTGGCCAATTTGGCGGTAAAAATGAGATATCTTAAAATTGCGAAGGAAGACGAAAGGAATACCTCGTACTTTTTTTTTATTATTATTTTTATTTACTTTTATTATAAGGTAAAAGTTTTTTAGTGAATAGAAGAAGAAAAGAAGAAATTTTTATGGAAATTATTTTTTTTTTCATTATTCATGCAGACTGATTTACGTGTATGTTTATTGGATTCGTATCTCTAATTGGATGCGTGTGAAACACAAATTACGGAATGATAATAAAATAGATAGAAATTGACCCCGTTACAAATTCATTATTTCTACAGGAATTTTCCATGTAACGTGCAACAGCGTGTAACGTGTAACTTGGTGTATTGACGACTAATAAATTGTTTAAGAGATTGTAATTTTAGGGGATAATGATTACTCGCTAATTGGCAACAGATTAAACTTTAAATGTATATAGTTACGTTGCCCGAGAGTCAGATAGCCGATTAACTGTGTCTTGTTGTACCTGGAATGGTGCATCTTGATGTAAAGTAAATCAGTCAAGTAAACTACAGATATTCGAGCGAATCGTTTAAAGCAGCATCCTCAAAGGGAAAAAGGCTCTCTGCATCTTTACAGTGCGCGATTTCCATCGCAATAAGATCCAAGAGAATCTCTCCTTACCTTAGAGAGCTTTCAGAGAGACGTGTTCAGCTCTGTACCATTGAAGGTTATGTTGCGTTACGCCGAGTTTCCATTTATTTACGATGCCAATTGAAACCGAATTTATTTATGGAAATATACATATCCCTTATAAATTACGTAATTCAATCATGAATACAGCACAGGATGTAATTCGTTTATTTTCAGAAACAAATTTTTCAATAAAAATTCTTGACGAACGTAGTCAGCATGGCGTCTATGCACCCTGCGTATCTTACGCGTATTATTGTCGCCTCGTGATTTTCTACGGTACCGTGGTTACTTCGTGTTCGCGAGAGTTCCTCGCGTGTTCGCAGGCCATCCTGACGTTATTATATAATACACGTAAGTAACCCTAACAATGGGAAACAGTAAATTTCTAGATAATACCGAGCAGCCAGAAGTTTTGACGGTCACGAAATACCTATGGCCGACTGAACGGTAGACGAGCTGACAACTTTTTTAAGGCGTATCCCTAAATTTTCCCTCGGAAAAAGCGTTGTTGCGTGTCAACTAAGGAAAACATTATCCCACAGTTTTCTACTCACGATTCCCTTGTGACAGGTACAGCAGTTATATCACCCTTGTCGCTACCCTTCTTTTCTCTCTCTCTCTCTCTCTCTCTCTCTCTCTCTAACGCCATATCCTTCTTTCTTTGGTACAGTCGTATTACAAAAGTAGCCAACAAACTCGTTCCGTCGTGAACGTTCGATTTGCCAAGGGAGTGAAATTAAATACAACACCGAGGGGTTGACTGTTGCTACGGGACTCAATAGTAAATGAGCGTCATAACAGTTTGGCCTTATTCGTTCGTAAAGCATTGGTGCCAACTTTATAAATAGTTAACGGTGATCAACAACGTAGTTGTCATAACAGCGGTAATAAAAGCAGCAGCTAGCAGAAACGACGCCGGGCGTCGACGTGAAGAGTGCCGGGCGGACTGATAATAAAAAAATATACGGCGAGCCACCGAATTCCATAATGGGAAAAGTTCGGCAATGGAAGAAAAACCGGAACTATATGTGGCGGCGAGAGGGCGCCTGAAAAAAAAAAAAATTACGCATCTCCATTCGGTCGCGATATCCCGGACAACTTTTTTTTTCTTTTTTTTTTCTTTTCTTTTATCTTTCCTTGCCCTTCGTCACGGTTGTTCTTGATTTCTGATATTTTTTAATTTCACCTGGCAGTTATACACATCGCTACCAGTGGCAGTAGCGGGCAATTTAATAACACGTCGCACTTTCGTTTTTGTCGCTCATGTGTAAACGCATCCTGTTGTATCAGCTGTACCGGCCATCAACTATCTATCAGTTATCGACTTTATGGATCTGTATTTATTGTATATGATCAAAGTATCCCTTGGTTATTTGTGTAGATGGGAAAGCTACAATTTTTTGGGGCGCGGGGGGTGGGATTGAGGGGCAATTTCATCCACTTTACATCTCACGAAATACCCATGGACCCATCGATCTTTTCGATGTATTGAACGCGATATGAGAATTCCTGGCTGCGCATTTTTTTATTCACGTGAATAATTTGAAAAAAGATTACAGTATTTTCCATTACTTTCTTTTTCGAATTATTTATAATCCATATATATATATAATATAAAATATATATATATGTATTCGGGTATATACATCGTCTAAGAATTGTAATTAATAGTTTCGTTAAATGTCTGGGGTAAAAAGGTCGGCCGTTGAAAAAAAGAACAGTGAAACAGGGCAAAGGTACACGGTACGTTTGACAATTTAATAAGTAAACTTACTTAATATTCACGTGAGTCCTGGCAAATAGGTATGCGAATTTAATGAATGGCGGTAAATATAAAAAAGCTTAATAAAGTGAAGAACGTGCAATTTTCCCTCTAATTCTAAGTAATATATACAGAGTTGGCACAAACGCACAATCTGAAGTTGGGCGCAGTCTCGGGACTCTCCAAAAAGTGACAGCTCACCGCGACCGATTCACTGACAGTTCGTGCGGCAACGTGTTAGGTTATTAAAATATTTCAATAGTCAGATTACTGAAATAATTAATTAATATTAATATTGTAATGACAAAATGTAATATCAGTTAAGATTTATTTTCACAACAGATTGCAATAGCTCTTAGGACAGTTTTAGGATATCTACGTGAGATTCACAGCAGTGTTAGGATATTTTTCGGAATTTGACGTTGTGGTAGGGACGTAAGAGAGGCTTACCGATGACTTGTTCAGTTTTCTTATCTTCACGGCTCCCTTGGTCAGTAGCAGAATGAGACGAAGCAAGATAACTCTAGACTGTATTAGGACACATAAAAGGGATTCGTAGGAGTTTTCGAATATTTCGGCGGAATTTTGGAAATTTAACAGTATGGTACGGACATAGGAGAGTCTTACCAGAGAGTGTTGGAGAATCTGAGGACCTGTTCAGCTTTCTTATCTTCACGGCTCCCTTTGTCAGTGGCAGAAGAACCTGTGAGACATGATCATTCTCCAGACTGTATTAGGATACCTAAAAAGGATTCACCTAACCTAAAAAGTACGCTTATAGAAATTTGCTATCCTCTCTCTAGATCTTGTATCCTCAAAAAAAAGACCGAATCTTCCATTTAATATCTCTATACCAGGATTCTTGACGTAATATAGATAACGCCACTGATAACGTCACAAAAACGACGACGGTATCGAGAGGAAGAATTTTCAGGTGAAAAAAAAAATCGAAGTCCCGAAGGAAATGAGAAGTCGTTGAAAACGCAAGAGCTCGAATATTACGTCATCGGAAAGTTAGTGCGATAAGGAGAAAAAAATGAAAAAAAATAACTTTCTTTTTTTCCAATATCTCCAACAGACAAAATCAGTACACAATACAGCACACATCGAACCGACTTGACAATCGCGACCAAGACATTTCCGTTTATGAATAAAAAATCTCAAACGAGATCAGCATTGACAATGGGACGAAATATAAAAATTAAATAGTTACTTTCTTTAACCTTAATAATTACAAAATTCCTATTGTCTCTCTCTCTCTCTATCATATTTCTTCCAACACCACGACCCCTCATATTTTAATTTCCATTTCCACCGGTTTCCACGTAAAACGAGAATCGATCGCAGCTCGCGGTAACGATAATCAAGAATAATGGCGCAATACTCCCTATACACAGATTCGAAGATAGGACAGGTTATATTTTACGATGTAATCGAAAAATGAGTTATTACCTTAAAATAAAAGAAATCCAAAAGTAAACAAGAATCCCCCCCGACGTCCTTACCTCGTCGCCGTCAATATATATTCAGATCATTTAATTTTTTATTTTTTATTATTATTTTTTTTTTCAAAATTACCCATACTCGACTACAATATTTTAGTGCCGTACGTCGACGCGCACAGCGCAGATAAAGATCTTGGCGATAATAAGAAAAAGTAAAATGCAAATTAACTCGATCGCTTATATACTACCTTCAAGATAACTCCACCGACGCGATTACCGTAACAAGGTAGATATTACTAACGAGGATACTCGTTAAGAGAAATAATTCATCTCTCAATCACGCGATTCCCTGTTACCGTTGACAGTGCGAATATTGAAAGCTCTTCGAATTCGCAATCCTCTTGCGATACGCTAACTCTCATGCAAATACGAAACCGTTATTATCGACTTCGTTTAAGTGCAACCGTACTGACATACCCAGGACCCCACCATACACTGAACCAAGCTATACGCTTATTGTTAGCATGGTACCATATGAACGCACGTGGGCGTGGCTGCCATAATAAATTCAGCCAAGGTGTTCAGGGTCGAAATTGCATAATTTTAGGCATCCGGTTGTCAATAGCCTCCTGGGTCTTATATACTGATTTCCGGGCGTCCATCGTTCGCAGACTTGGTACAGAGACATTTTATTCTTGAGATTCTCTTTGGTGACAGATTATATGCGTGCCTGTGTATATTAGTGAGCATACGACGTAATGAAAAGGGCGTGACAATGCCCAGTCCCCTGTCACCATGCGTTACCACGCATAATGCTGACACGCGCTTAGGGCATTGAATGTGAATAAAAAAAAAAGGGACGAATTATATGGAATGGGCCTTAACTGCTGTACCTACGTGGTCTTGCTGTTTTATATACTCTGGATCCCCTCTTTGAGGTTATTATTATTTGAGGGGACCATTTGGAGCCTTTAGAGCAGTTCGCGATAACGCGCTTCAGTGATCTCGAAGAATTTTTCATTTTTTTCTTTTTTTAGTTGGTCTACCCGAGCACCACTTTTGGCTCGCACGAACATGGAACTGGAGAAAATGGTGCAATACGACAGGCGGTCATTGATATTTATTTGATCCGGATCGGTTTAGCCGCACTTGAAATTCTATCAGGTTTCGAACAGGAGTCTTTGATGCTTGTGGAAGTGCGCGACCTTTTCCACGTGCACTGCTGAACTGCAGTAAGGGTCATGGAGAATCGAGCGTGGTAGGAGTGGAGTGAAAGGGAAAAAAAAAAAATAAGAAAAAATTTGGGAAATTTACAACAGGTTGTTTTGATTTCTTTATTTGAATGGCAACGAGGGTCTTTTTTTTGTGAATATTGAAGATTGATGTATTTGAATTTTTTTGTATAGGTATAACGTATAATGGCGAATTTGCAAATTAGTCCTGTCGCTCGACCAAGATTGGTACGTTGATGCTGGAACTACGAGCCATTTGAGATGCGGCGGGTCAATCGCTTAGGGATCAATTGATCGTCATGGCTGTGCGCGACCTCGACAAGACTGCGCACAATGGAAAAACGCGCAAGAAGGCGAGCGGCTTGACGCTTAATGGAAATTCTCCTTGATCTTTGCGATCAAGCGCTGGGGCCTTCGGTGAAAATTAATTGAGACTCCCCAGTTGTTGGCGCTCATCGATCCGCCAGGAACTTAGGTCAGCATCGAATGGGAGCGATTACTCGGACAATCGAAGCTTTCGTCGTTCAATGGAAACGCGATAAACGATAAAGCCCCGAACGGGCTTTATCGAGCCGATTTATCCCACTTCGATAGAAAGGCCTTTGCAACTGTTGCAAAAACGAATTGTAAAAGGCATTAGCGTACCCGATGCACATAGTCATCACGTACCCTATATCTTACGTCAGTATAAAATTCCTTTATACTTGATTCTCGCGAGAAATAAAGTACAGCTATGTTAAAAGAGCCTTAAACTGTACAAGCGATCAGTCGCCACCTAACGAACACTTAAACCTATAACGTATTTAATCACTGACTCGATGTACGTACCACGTCTATGCGAGGTATAAATAACAGACAGAAAAAATAACCATGGCGTCTGCGCAAGGTGCATATGCAATTTATATATCGTTCGTTTTCCACTTGGCTGCACGATCGTTCATAAGCGACTGAATAGCAATAAGAAACGGAAAAACAAAATCACAAGGCGTCTCATTGCGGAAGGCTTTACCTGGTTTAAATTAGTCGCCGTAGTGTGGCGCCAGGCCTTAAACACGTTTCTGTCGCGATACGTTAACCCCCATGCATAATGTATTTCCGAGGTTTTCGATGAAAGCAATGCCTTTATAGGCGATATGCAAGTCATTCGAGCTGTTAACTGACTGAGGAAGTAATTAGCACGATAAACCAGTCCTCCTCGCGTTTCGCCGTTACGTTTTGTCATCCTAATTGTATAGTAAACGTTAACGTTTAGTTTACCGAATTCCCGCTAGATGGCAGCGCCAGCCGAACCGACGATTCTCCGACTTCGGCCTATGAAAAGGTCGGGCGCACAGTGTGCACCCGGCACGTTCTTTCGAACGAATTCATAACCTCAAAGTCATTAAAAACGTGAATGATTTATAAAAGGTGCTTTTTCTAGTGATAACGAAAAGAAAAATAAGAGATAATAACTTCGTAGCGCTGGCACTCGCAATTAAAATAAAATTCTTTCACACTTCGAGCAGTGCCGGACGGTAGAGCCAACCAAAGAGAAACTAATTACCACGATAACGCCTTGATATTTTTCTTCTCTCTGTTGAAGATCGAGGACACTATTTTGCCTAATAATAAAAGTAAACATCGAAGATCGATTGTTATTATTGATCACCTGAAACTTATTAATATCTTACGCCTACGGCAAAATTTAATCCTTTTATTTCCATAGCTGTCATTCTAACCTCGCAGAAAATGGCTGATTAGCTACCTAATTTCATTAATTAAGTTTCATTGACATCAGACCTCTCTACTGCGTTACGTAATTTCAGACTTCGGATCAATACAACTACCAACCTGTGTACAACGTTGTAATTTTCAATTGTAAAATCGCTCGACTCGTGTCCCCGAATGTTCCTAATCAAGCAGCTACGTATTTTAGTAGTGTAAATAAATTTAGCACGATATTCCAACCGCGGAAGGGGAAGTCCTCGTAACACGCACGGATGCACTTCCGTATTACATTCTCTGTGCACATATTAAACTCGAGATTCACGAATTAATATGCAAGATGCTCGACAGTGTAAACCGAGGTGACGTATATATAGATATAGGTACTTGGTCGCGATTAATCGATCGCGAGCGGATATCTTCGTCAAGTCGAGATTTCCGCTTCCTGTGTAAATGCTGCCTCGAACCATCCCAAGGAAATGTTCTAGAAGCAAAGAGGGGGGAGATTTGCTGATTTATATGCGACATATGTATACGTACAATGACGTAGCCGTGTATATATATGTATATGCATACGTAAAAAAGAAACGTACATAACTCAAGCGCAGGAACCCTAGGCCCAGTTTTATAACAACAAATAAAAACGAAAGACCGGAAGTAACGCAGAAATAATCTTGATCGCGTACCCGGGTGCATTGACAATAAAAAAAAATAATAAATAAAAAGACAAAAAGCAGGAAGTACCTTGTATATGGTTTTCCGGCGAAATTGGCACTCTCGCTTGGAACACTTAATAAGTTAGCAGCCAGCGTAAGATAAAGGCCAAATGAACGAGCAGTACGTGTTTCAAGTAGTCAATGATTCAAGTAGTACTTGCTGGTATATAGTGTATAGATGGGGGAACCCCCTTTCCCCCTGTATACGATTTTACCGAACGAACGATTCAAATTGAATACTGAAAAGATCCTTCGGCCAAGGGCGATCTCTAGCACGCCCCTTAATAAAGGCTTCAGAAAATTGAGTGAGTCCAGGTGTTGGCCACGTTTTGACAATGGTCGCCACGTTGTGTTATCGAAATGTGCGGCTAGGCGTTCAATTCACCTCGCCACATAGGTTATGTATACACGTCACCCTTTTTTTTTCTTTTACATATGACGCACGTGTCAACTTAACAGTCATATGTGTGTATGTATATATATATATATATAACCTTACTTAACTGCTGGGAAGTTTGGCCAATAGCTTTTTGAATTGACATAAGTTATTGTTATTATTATTAAAAATCTATATAAATATACATATTAATTGCTGTCACACTGTTTATTAAAACAAGCATTACCCTTGGTTTGGTTCTCCATTTTGTTTCAACGGTTGACGCGCTGAATCGTATATTAAAGTTAACTGTGAAATCCACTTGAAGAAAATAAAAAGAGAAGAAATTTTGTAAAGATTGTGCTCCTAATTATCCCGTTACTCATGGAGATTCAAAAGGGTCTTGTGTTGCTATTTTCAAAAAGCCCGCGCTTCACGTTTATCTATTATACACCCGTTAGTCTTGCACGTTCTGTGCAATGCTGCTTTAATTTAATTAGCACGTCGACGGCGGCTATGGCTGCTGCGTGTTGTAGGAAATTAAGGGCAGGACTTCACTTATGGTTTTTGACAATGCCTTACGGAGTACGGAAATTGCAATTTCGCACGTCGATGGATTTTCAAACGACCACAGGAATTTATTTATTTATTGAGATCCTCGTTATGGCTGCTCTACGCTAATGGGCAGCCCTTACGGTACGCGACATATACACAAAGAGCATGAAATAAGGTCCCGTGTAAAGAATGGTATCAGATCACTCGAGGAACTGGTATCTATAGGAACCACGTGGCCCAACGGGACACATGAGAAATATGTGGGTCCCTTTGATCGGAGAACACGCGCATTGGCGTTTGTATATCCTGAGAAAAATTTGAAGGACGACAAATAGGCAAAGAGGAGACTTGGAAAAATTTTATTTTAAATAGATTTTCAATTTTGAGTTTTTCTATCGTGGAAATTTTTTTTTATTCAATATATCCGAATGCCTTTTTTCGATATATTTATTGATTAATAACACGTGTATCGTAACTACGTTCTCGTATTGAGAAATCTAACCGTGGATTAGATTTTGGTTTTTTTCGCCTTCACGATTTTATTCTATGGGCATTGTCTGTTTCGGTTGTATTTTATGTAAAATTTTTTTGAAATCGTAAAAAATAAAAAATTAATCCTTTCAAACACGTTGACGGGATTAAGCATAAAATTCACGTTTCAGCCGAGCCTTAACGTTTGTCATCTTTAAGTAAAACATCGTTCGCCTGTCTCGCTTAAATTACTTAAAGGTACACGTGAATTTCAATGAACGGTATCTTGAGAAAATTAATGCAAAGCTATGCAAGAGGATTCTTCAGGGACCTTCGAGCGATATTGTACTTGGAAACGAATCGAACCGTGACAAAGAATCCTGGAGACGCGCAATTATGATTCGCCTTGTCACGTAAAAAGGCTAGTTTGCAATATTTATCTTGAAGAAGAAAAAAAAAAGTTCCTTGATAAAAGTGTTCCATGAAATATTCATTGTGTAAAAAAAAAAAAGAATTTTGAACCAACCTTACAAAATATTCTCATATTCACGCGCTTTATATCCCAAATCAAGGGATCCTTATTAATAATAAATAAAAAGTGCTCGATGTTAATTCATGAATAATAATTAAAAAAAAAAAAAAAGATTAATTGCACAGGCGAATAATTAACGTGTCACGTGAGAGAAATCACGAGGATCCTCAAGAAGATAATTTTTTTTTATTTTAATTAAAATCGTAGAGGGATGTAACCTTAAAAAAAATTATAGATCGAAAGTCACGTGATACTCACATTTAATTACTCGTTGATTTTAATTAACTACATTTTCCGCGTCCTACGTGTCTATGTACCGTCACAGTCGATACGCCGAGTTTCAAAAGAGGGTGCGTCTGCATCTCATTCCCATAGGGGAGTCTCGAAAAGGGCCTTGAAATCCTAAAAACGTCAAAACACCTCGTACGAGTCCTTCTGCAACGTCACTCCGTCAAGGGTGAGGACGCGCACTGCTAAGAGTACTCGGGTGGGGTGGTGTACTTCTCCCTCTCTCTCTTTATTCTCTTACGGCACAAGAGAGCTGAATACCCGTGTTGCCCTGATGAGTCTACAGCGTCGCACGAAATGAAAATTTTTACACAAAGATCAAAATAAGTTCCCAGCTACACGCCCTCATAACTCTTTTCTCTCGTCATCTC